ATGGAGCCGTGTTCCTAGCTTCTGGCCAGGCTGCCATTTAGTCTCACTCGTGCTGCTTGTTGTCTTTGGATGTGATAGACTTATTGAGTGTTAAAAGTCAGGGAAGCTGTTTCCTGTTTATCATCTCAGAAAATCTGGTTATTGATTTACATGCCCAAACATCTAGTCCTGTAACAAACATTAAATACTGAACTACAAAACCTTGAGTAGCTTTCTGCCCTAATTGTATGTACGATGTGATTATTTTTATGAAGGTAGTAGCACTTACACAGTGATCAGAAGCCTGTTATGGTTGTTACTGGACAAACCCATAGAGAGATGTCCCTCTCCTGCAATTGGAAATATCTGAGATGTTTGAGAGGTAGGAAGCTTTGTTTGAACAATGTGGGAACTGAAGCACACTCATTAAATACTTCACCCAGCATCACCCAGGCAGCCTGTGGTGGGTCTGGAAAACCCTTCTGCCTTCAGTCGCATGTCTCTATCTTAACAACAAGGCTCCTGTCACTTCTGTATGCAAACCTAATAGATATACAGCCCAGTGACAGTTACTGATTAACAAAAAATGCTGTTATGCTGTATGAAGTGTTATTTTACCTTTTCATGTCTGCTGTGGTGTCCTTCCCTCTCAGCAAGAGAGAAAGGGAGTAAGAGCATCCAGATAGCAGTGTCCTTACTAATGAGAAGTTCAGCCAACCATGTGCTACTTTTTCCACCACTCTGTGCTGCAGTTATCTGCAGAAGAGGAATAGAAAACTAATGTCTAATCTTTAAAAAGGGCTTTGGAAGATTACTTCAACCTTTACTCTGCCCCAGCTGAGCTCTGCTTAGATCCTAAAATGATCTAAATAACTTTTGTTTCAAAGATGGACATTAATGTGCCATGCTGGAACCATGCAAAAGCAGCCAGTAGGAGATAGCTGGCGAAAGAGATTTTCACATGAAAACAAAACTGGAGAGTGTTCCCTTCTCAGATTTCTTTCTTTTTCTTTTTTATTTTCCTAACAAAGAGAAGTGGAACTGTGCATGTTGGAACAAACCAGTGGGAGCAAGTGAAGGTCAGACAAGGAGGACTGTTCCTTGAACATTAACACGAAATACTAACTCCTAATTCAGTGTGGGCTCAACTCTCTCCCTATGTCATTTCGACTTCATGGGCTCCTGAAGAATTACTTGGATCTTGATTTTCACTGAAACTTTTAGGAGAGAGTAAATACCTTTTCAGCAGTCTGTGGGGATTCCATGTGGATCAGCAACAGGCTTAATTAGTCATGCTGCTGGAAAATGTTCAGTCACGGTCTCCTAAGACACTCTTGTTCCTTCAGGAGTGTCCTGAAAATACGACCTGAGTTTAGGGTGGAAGAGGATGATACTCTATAACCTTGGGATATTGGATTGCACATACAGTCTGACACTGCATTTAAACCCCAGGAGTCACCTGGTGGGAAAGAGAAGGTGTAAAAAAGCCATTTTCCAGTAAAGAGTGTTTCCTTTGGCATTGTAGTCAGTGAGTGGGCAAAGGTTATGCAATTGGAGAGTTTTTTCTTTAACCTCAATTCCTACCATAAAAAATGGTTGATTTATAACCCTATTTATTAGGTTTGAACTCATTTACCTGAACATTCCCTTCAGTTTGGACTGTGCTGTCATACAGAACAGATGCCCCATCCAGATCACGCTCTCTGCCCTTTCAGACCTGGAAGAACTCCCTCAGCAGGTGAAATGGACATTGCAGAACCTGGGTTACTCCCTGGCTTGCACACCTCTGTTGTCAAGTAGTCAGGAAGGAGAAGCTGGCTTATTATTAACCACAACAAGATGTAAGAAGTGGGCTGTGCAACGCTGGCCTGCTGTAATATTCCAGGATACTTCAGTGAGATTTGTCTCAGCTGAACACAAAGTGCCTCTGGCTGCTCCACTTCATTAGGTATCTACACACAGTCTGGACGATATTCCTAATGGATCAAGGTTGCTCTAACTGTAATAGAAACTTAATTTGCTTTCATGTATATACTTTTGGATTCAAAACACTGTCTTTCCTCTTCCTCAAACAAAGGCAGTATAATGAAAATAACTACTAGTTACCAGGTATAGAGGAGAGTGGGAACAATGTTAGCTGTTCTCCCATCACACCACAGCCCTTAGAGATAGGAACTGGGGAGTGCCTGCCACCACTCTCAGCTTGATTGCTCCATACCACCATAGGAGTCAAAGGCACTTAATACTTCACAGGACGTGTTTATGGCATCAATCTCCAGGGCACCATGTGAATTAGAAAAAGGATCAGGTGTGTACCTGTCCTTGCTATTAATTACCTTGCCATTGAATAGAAACAAAGCAACATAAAATGGCCTTAGGAAATATTTAGGCTAGCTGGAACATAAGGTTAAAGGCTTCTAATTTTCTTTATGATGAATGGTCCCAGGGGTGCTTGGAGGGAGGGATGAGGCATGGAAGAGCAGTTCTTTCTCTTTTGGGTTATAATATGGCTAGCAAATTTTCAGAGTGTAAACTAACTGCAAACTTCCAGCACCTTCCCATCTGCAGTGCATCTGCAGTCCCTCTCCCTGATGTTTGCACAATATTGCAGCATTCTCTTGTTGCTGGAAGAACAGAAGTAAGCTGAGTGAAGCAGGACCAGATATTGTGCCTCTGTATATTTTCCTGATAAGTGTATATTGCAGATGCTTTTTTCTTTAGCATCCATAAAGTTAAATTATTCACAGCCAATTTCACTCTAAAGAGCTCTCATGTACATGTCAAAAATAGAACATATTTAAATGAAAATGAAATCTTGTTTTTAATTTATACAAGGGTTAGTGCTTCTGCTCCTAAGAGATGTCTTTGAATTACTGTGAGAAGGTTACCTTGTGCCTTCTAACATGCACCTTTATCTGACAGCTGGTCCCCCTCAAAGCCACTCTTTCCAGCTCAGTGATTTCATTGTACAAAATAATATGCTATGAAAATATTGTCTTTTTTAAGACTTCATTTTCTTTTTAATTCTTGGGTCTTTATGTGGATAAATCTATGTACCTATAAACAAGCACTTCAGTAGTGAAATAATCTTCCCCACTACACTGAACTCCAGGGTCCTTGTAGATCCTAAAAAACTATTCTAAATTCTAAAATACATTAGAAATAACTATGCAAAGAACTGGAACTCTGACTGTGAAAGTATCTAAGGTCAAGGGGAAGAGGGTCTACCAAGTAATATAAGGCAGCATTTTGCTACTCAAATATTCACATATTGAATATTCAAATATTGAATATTCACAATGCAGAATGTCAGCTAATCCTTTTCCTCCTCTACTCTTTTCTCTTCCTCTTTTTCCATCAGCAGTTTTTAACTAATAATCTTGAGAGCCCAGTGATTAAAAGGCTTTTCTTGTGAGCAGTGTGAAGACACCACCATCCTTCACACTATGCCATGAACATCAGCGGCGATCATCTCTATGAAAATGTGCACATTGTGTTAAATGCTGTCATTTATTTCAGTGCCATAAAACATCAGTGACAGTTCAATTAAAAGCTTAAATTTTTTGTACTGCAAAGTAGAAATATTTATGAAGGAGCTTGTCAGAGGCAGAATATTAAAACAAAACAGGTGCTTTTGCAGAAACACAAATAAAATGTCTAACAGTAAACATTAAACAAATCAATTATTAATCACGGTTCTTTTCATTCCGCTTGAGCTGCCTTCAAAAGATTTTGTGTCTAACAGTCTATGTAACATTACCTCATCCCACCACTTGGTTTTGCTGTTTGTATCCTGTGGTGCAGCTGGATAGATTATTTGCTTCTTCAGAAAAAATCTTGGGACCAAAATAAGATGAAGGCTGTAAACCAATGGGGTCAAGTATCTGAATTCAGTCTTTGCCATTTCCTTGGTACAAGCAAATTCTTACTGTTAATGTCAGTATTTCATCACTGTTGCTGACACCAAGCACAGGAACTTCATTACAAACCTTTTGGTGGGCTGTCAAGTGACATGATGTTTGCTGGCTTTGTCTCATGTTTCCTTTGTTAGAATGAAATCAGATGAAGTTGTCTATCATCAGAAATACCTTAGGTGTCTTACCCAGTCTGTCTGAGAGATGTCTGGGAGGCTGGAGTGAGAGGTGGGGTTGCAATGTCACCCCTATAGTGAGGCAGGCTCTACCTTTTGCTTCATCAAGGCTGAAATTGCTCCCTTTGGCCCCCTTTTCCTTACCTCTGCTGGCAGATCCTGCCACGTTCAGCACTCTACTTTTATGTCAATATCTGAAAGTTTCTAGGCCCTTGACTTACTGCAGTCTGTAGGTTTCCTTCAACTCAGTTCCTTTCTGGTGATATCGTTGTGAAATTTACACCCTCCTGCCTCTTTAATACAACACTGGGGGTTTATTACAGAAAGCTATAAACTACATATTATTTATGGATTGCTCACATACATTACGCAAAAGTCTTGCTATTGGTTCCACTGAAAGACTGGGTTGTAACGGGGTGCAGGTTAAAAATCTTTGCTATATTTTTTGGAAGGAAAAATCTGTGTTTAATTGACTCTCAGGTTTCTGATTCTCTCCAGACTTGTGAGTGCACACCTACCTCTGTACCTAGTGTTGAGCAGCAAAGCATCGTCAGCTGTGCTGAAGTTACCTGAGTCACAGTAGGCGGCAATATGGAAAGGAAGCAATCATGGTCAGTAGCAGGAGGGTGAGAGATGTTTTACTTTTTATAACTTTAAGAACATACTCCCAGGATGTCCAGACTTCCCTTGGTGAAGGGAAGCACAATGCTAGTGAGAGGACACATGTTAATAAAACTTACAAAGAGACATCAGGCAGGAGTTGTTTCCCTTGTGCAGGGAAAGATGGAGAACCAGGAAGAGCAGGCCAGGTGTGTGCCATCACCTATTAAAAGCTCTGATGAGGTGGGGAAGGCACCTGAATTGCAGGGAGGCAGTTTTTTTGTTGCTGTAGGTGAATGTGGGTATTTGGCAAGGGGTACTGGGCTAAGATGTTAATACTTGGTCCAACAGAAAAAGCTTTACTTAGTGTGGAAATCTGCTTCATCCTAGTAGGGGTTAACTTACCTCTTGCTGCTAGCTGAAAGGTAATGAAGAGAAATGGGTTAACCATGAGACTGTGCACATCTGTGATGTAATCAAACCAGAAGTGGATTATAGGTATCTGCTTTGCAAGAGGTGAGGGTAAAAAAAGAAGACAGCTTGTTTGGGGAGGAAGTCAGAAGCATGTCTTTCTGGAAAGCTTTTCCATATCGCTTTGGATCAAAGACAACAGATTCATGTGGACAGTAGGTGTGGTTGGTCTACTAAAGGTAGGTGAATTGTTCCTGCTGTTGTGACAACTCCCCCACCCTGCAGAGAGGAAGGTGATGAGGGCGAGTGGTTTGGCATAGTTGGAGACTGAGGTTGAACATTTGAGAAAGAGGAGTTTGCTTACATGTTGGTATGTGCCTGTAGAATGGAGCTTTCTTTGAGTGACCCCTGACTTGATCTGGAGCCCTTTGCCTTCTGCCCTTTATAATAAAACACAAGATGAAATGCTATCTAAAGGCTTTATTCCCACAGTTAAACTCTATGATTTCCTGCTAGGTCTTTTCTGAAACATTAGTTTATCTCCATAGTCCTACTCTTTCCACATCTTTACACTGATGACAGTGTTATTGTTGCAAAACTTAGTGTGCCAGGTAAATATCCTCTGTTTCACTGACCGACCATTCTGTTCCACTGTAATCAGCTGCCAAGTGACTTTGTTTTCTCCCTCCAAACTCCTAATGGAGCTATTCGTGTTTTTTCCAACAACTTGTTAAACTCAGTGGGTGAACTTGGCTGGCAGAAGTCCCGTTGGTTGCAGCGGAGGCCAGATTCCACATATTACTGTTTCTCTGTTAATTAGTGGATTTACGCTTTTTCCCTTTCCAGTCTTTACAAACAATGGAAAGAACTGCAGTGGGCGCTTCTCGTGCTGTCTGCTGCCTAAGAGAGTGAGGGCAGAAATTAAACTGTTTAAAACACGTTTATTCTTTGTAATGTAAATTTGATGACTTAATTCTAGATACAGAATGGCTAGCGAGTTGGTCTGCCAGCTTTGCCAAGATTGCAGTACATGAAAGTAATGAGTGCCTCAAATATAGAGGGCTCCAGTAACTCAAACAGCTGAAACAATTTTGTTGTAACTCTTTGATTAGATGCTCAACACTCTGTATCCAGTGCTGGCTGTAATAGCAATCCTGTGCATCTCAAGTTAGCAAAGAAATGGAGCTAATTCTTAACCTATGTTAAGAAGCAGAGCATATTTTCTCTTAATTCTTCCTTCCAGGGAAGGTTTTACACTAATCCTGCGACTTTTTTCTTTGGCTGAGCTCCCCTTAACTTTCAAATTATAGAAATACTAATCTTTCTCCTGCTCTAGTGCCCCAAATTTTTACATACTGGAAGCCACAGAGAGCAAGTTGTGTGACTCAAAACACAGGCAAAGCTCTGGTTTTCCTAGTGAGGGAAGGAGGAGAAAAAAATAGCCCTTGTCAGAGTAGCCTCTGCTTGGTTGGAAATAGAACACCCCATAGTTCTTCCTCAAGTGTTCCCTCTAGCTTCTTACGCGTTTTATTCATCTACTTTAAGTCATTCAGTAAACTAATGTGGAAAAGTCGTGTGCCAGCTCAGAATCATTTATCCTATGGAAAACATGATCAAAACTTCCTCAGGGTGTCATTAACCTTTGTATTGATTCAATCAAAGAGCCTCACGCAATTTCATGATTTCTCAGACTGCTGTGAGATGTGAAGGGAGGGCAGTTGAATATTATTCATCTTGTAGCAGTGTAATTAATTCAGCAGTGTTTTGGTAAAAGTGATACAGAAAAGATACTCTGCTATAATAGGTTGTACTTTTATAATTATAGAACATTATACTGGATTTTCTTTCATCTTGCCTCTACCTTTTAAAGTTTGGAAGTTATCATAGTAAAAAGTATGTCCTCCTCTCCCTTCCCTAATCAGCTGCTGTTTTAATTTCCCATCAGCACTTGCTTGACCAGCATGAAGGATATTTGTTCTTGTCTTGTGACATTTTGGATCATGTCTTATTAAATAAACGAATAAAGGAAAGCCTGTTGTGCATTGCAAAGTGTTGAATTCATGTCTCTGGATCCCAGCAGGAGAACAGTAATGTTACAGTAATGCTACAGGGCAAGATGTCCACTAGAATGAAAAGGAATAGTGGGCTAAAATGAGTAGATACCAGTATGTGCCTTTACTAATGCTGCTGCTGCTCCTTCACCACCATGTTTTTAATGCAAAGGCCTTTACTGGTTGCTTGAACCTATCAAATACTGTATTTAGGTAGTCCTATCTCTGTTAGAGAAGGCTTGCTTTGCAAATGTTGCCTGCAGTAAAAGTAAACTCCTTTGGTGGAGTGTGCCTGGGGAACAGTGGTGTGATCTAGTTAACAGAAACAGCTGTTTCTAGTACTTCCACAGACTATCAGAGCCATAAGCTATAGTGTACCCTCCTTCTAGCAGAAGATATAGCAGAGTCTAATTGGTCAGAAATTATTTAAAGTATGAATTGGCTACAGCAATAGATTTACTCCTGTAAATTCTAAATACATCATAGAGATCACTGCAGAAGGTTGCCTTGAATTTCCTGGCTTCCTTTCAGAGAGCTCTCACTTAGGGGCTTCCTTTCAAGTCCCCTATATGCAAGTTTGGATTATGGCCCCATGTTGTGTAAGAGGTGAGCAGCTACAGGTCCTAGAAGTCTCTGCCTTGCTTCTGGAAGTTGTGAGGTTTGTTGTTGTCATCTCAGTCCTCGTTGCTCTGCCCTAAAACCAAAGAACATTCCTAGCCCTGGGAATATTTAGTTGTCAGTAGAGTGTGTTCATCGTACTTGGTGGGGTTTTTAATGAGGGCTTTTTAGAGGGGAAAAAAAAAAGCAACACAAAGCCCCAACCCAAACCTCCCTCACTATTGTGTGTGATTTATGGTGTCAGAGGAGCTAATTAAAAATAATAAGGAGGAGACCTCACAGAAGAGTATAATTGGAATCCAAATGGCAATCTCAGTTTCGGCATTTCTTCTACTTTCTCCTCAATTTTGTAGCTCTTATTTGAGCATTGTGGGGTGAAATATATTTTATAATATGCCTAAACTAGAACTCAGAATCCAACAGTGATCTAAGTATAGGTTAAGTATAAACTCTTGTAGTTTGTTTCTGCATAACTGCGAACTTTTCAAGGTGTTTTTAACTATTTGTGTACTTCTTTTTGAACTTACGTACTTGAAAAATACAATTTTACAGTAGTTTTTGTGTTTTATGACAGCAATCTAAATATTATCTTTGGAAAACTTTCTATTCCTAAATCATTAGCAATAGCTGCTCCTTACTTTCCTTGTTGCAATTCCTATATAATCTTGCTGTTTGTCTTTGTAAGCCTTTTGTTTGCTTTATACAGAGCAACGTTAGGTAGTTTGTGGACTGAAAAGACAAGGTTCTATCCTCTTTACTTACAGTTCTGAGAGTCTATTTTAGATGTTTTACGAACAGAGAAAGCTGTATTTAACAATGCTAGTAAAACAAACTGAGAAGCTCTCAGGCATGTAGACAGAATACCACAGGTTATAAATATCTGCCCAAGACTTATTTCAGACGAGAGAACAGTGTGGACTCTTTTGCAGTTAAACAAGAAATTCTTGTGGCCAGTGCTAAATGATCCAGCTGGCATTTTGATGAGCTCTAGATGAGAAACTTGCAGTCATGGCTTTTATTGTCATTTATACAAGCTGTCCAAGTGTTTATGCCACATCCCCATGGTAAACAAAAAATGATGTATATTTTGGTTCTGGTGGGTTTGCTGCTACAATGAGTGCATGTGCTGGCTCAAAAAAGAAGAAGAAACATTGAAAGGTTAGTATTTAAAAACATTACTTAATAAGAATAACCCTTTTTCATCAGTACAGCAAAAGGCAATAGCGGGCTTTTGCAGTCTGTGGTCTTGTCAGTGCTTTCTCCTTTGTGATAACGCTCTGATGCCTTTCACATTCAAAGATTCAGTAAAGGTGTCCATTAACCTCAAAGCCCTTTCATTCTGTTAGTTGTCCCCCTCAGCACTTTCCTGACTTTTTGCCCTAGTAAGGCTGTGTTTTGGGCACAACTGGAACCCTTCTCTCATGCACTCCTTGCTCTCCACTGCCTTTGTAATCCCATAAAGGAGCAAACTTCTCTTCTGAGGACAACCCCAACTAAAGTTTAAATGTGTTACATGGATGAAGAAGGAGGAGGTAATGGCAAGCTAGCAACTTAGCTTGTCCCACAGGGTATACCACAGTGTGCAGCATGCCCTCCAATCGCCATTTGACTTGGTGTTGTTATCACCCAGGAATGCACTGGAGTGAAGGACAGTGGGCACAAAAGAAGGTTGGGTGGGATTTTCTGAGCCATACTTGTGCTTCTGCCCTTCTCACTCCAGAAGGATTTGCAGCATCACTTGTCCACTCTGCTTTGCAGGAGAGCCATGCTGTAACTCAGCTCTGTTTTGTTATAAAGCTGAACTTAGAAATTTACTTTTTTTTCCAGGTTGATGTCAGAATGAGTGTGACCTGCAGTCTCCTGAGGACCGTATATAATACAGTGTGTTGTCACTTGTCTGTGAATAGCATACTGCTAAAGTACCTGCTGTGCTCCGAGGCAAAACCTGGCATTTTTCCCCTTAAGCAGGGCGGGGATGTAATAAAGAGTTTAACCTACCAGTTTGTGCATCCTCTCTATATCCAGAGTGTCAGGTCATCTATGTAAGAGATGTGAGTAATAAAGTCCCCAAACGTTGTTACCTGTGGGTATCCATTAAAAATCCTGTGCTGATAAATCAACTTTTTGTACAGTGTGAACTGAATTCCATAGCTGCTTCCTCCATCTATTCTATCTGAACACAGTCAAACCAGTATTGTCTTGCACTGCCTGTATTCAGAAATGTACCAGAATAACTGGCAAGCAGGAGCTGAAATATTCATGCTTATTGGCTTTGAGGCAGTGAAGATTTCATTCTTAAATTGCTACTTTCTTGGTGGTGTGGTCAAAAGCTAGCTGGCCTATTGTGAAGTTTGGAGTATATCTTCCTTGTCCATCTTATGTGGGTAGCTCTCACCATTGTGAGTTGATGAGAGATCATGGGAGCGTGATTAGTGTGGTAGCTGGCCAGAACTAATGCCCCAAAGGGGGGATGATGTGCACCTGAGTACAGCTTAGAGCATGGCTGAGCACAGTTATGCAGAGGGAACTTGCTTGTGTCTGCAGTAGATGATGTGGATGCAAGAAATGAC